GATTGTGCTTCACCAACCTTGGCAACTAGATAAGCTAAAACCAAATATTTAGGGACTAGATATGATATTACATGCCTTTAATCCCAACACTCGAAAGGCAGGTGGATCTCTGAGTTCAAGTCCAATCTGGACTTGATCTGGCCATTATAGAGTCTCTGGACTGTAAGCCCAAACAAAAACTTCTGTGAGTTGCTTCCGGTCATGGTGTTCTATCAGACGATTGGAAATGAACTAGCACACAGAAAGATATTTTCACACAAGTATATAATGTGTTTGGAGCATAGCCCTGTATCCCCATCCCTAACTTTCTTGGCTCCCTCGTTTTAGTACCATTTCCCCCTAGACAATTTTGATTCTACTTGTATGCGTAAAATCAAGGAACCACAAGTGAGAGAAAATATGCAATATCTATCTTTCTAATACTTCCCTAATTTTCCCAATGTGATTATCTTGTGGCTCCCGTTTTCCTGTAAATGAATAGCTTCAATTCTTTTTTAAGCCAGAGAAAGTTCCAATGCATGTATATGCCACATTTTACCATTCCTATACTGTTGGCCATCCTATATATATATAGGTTATTTTCATAATTTAAGCACTGTGCATAGAGCTACAATACACGTTGATACACAAGTGTCTCTATATGCCGACTTGAATACTTTGGGTAAATACCTAAGAGTGGTCAAGCTGGGCCATATGATCAAGCAAGTTTTAGTTTTGTTGTTGTTGTTGTTTTTCCTTAGAACCACCATTCTGCTGGTGGCAAAAGCCTTTGATGCCAGCACTCTGGAGGTAGAGGCAGGGGATACCTGTATACCTGTGAATTCGAGGCCAGGCCTGGTCTACATAGTGAGTTCCAGGACAGCCAGAGCTACCTAGTGAAAAGCTTGTCTCAAAAATAAATAAGCAATTCAAAAAACAACCAGCATTCTGATTTCCATATTGACTGAACTAAATTCCCACCAGCTGCACATAAGGATTCTTTTGTTCATGTCCTTGCCGGCACTTGGTTTTGTTTCCTTTTTAATTTTTATTCATTTATTTTGGGGTTTTTTGCTTGTTTGTTTTGTTTTTGAGACAAGTTCTATCTATTATGTAGCTCTGCTGTCCTAAAACTTGCTATGTAGACTAGACTGGACTCAAACTCAGATGTCCACCTGCCTCTGCCTCCAAAGTGCTGGGATTAAAGGTGTGCTCCACTACACCTAGCTTATATATACTTAATGACTGCCATCCCAATTGAGGTAAGATGGAATCTCAATGTGATTTTAGTTTGCATTTCTCTGATAAGGGTAAAATTGAATATTTATTTCTTGTGTTTATTAATCATTCGTGTTTCACCTCTTGAGGTATCTGTTCCATTTATTAGATCACTTATTTGTTGAGTTGTTTTATTTCCTAGTGCTTTTGACTTCTTTGTATGTTTAGATATTAATCCTGTCAGATGTATAGCTGGATTTTCTTCCATTCTGTAGGTTGTCCCTTCGTTTACTCTTTCCTTCCTGTGCAGAAGCTTTTGAAGTTTGTGAGCCCCTTTGTCAAGTGCTGAGGAACTGAGTCCTTGCCTGTGCCTGTATCGTCAGGAGTTTTCCTTACTGTTCCCTCAAGCTGGTTTGGAGTCTGAGGAGTTACAATGTCTTTGACCTACCTGGAGTTGGCGATCAAACTTTCAGACTTTCTCACGCTAAAGCACACAGTCTACCACTGAACTTCAATCTCTACAGGTGATCTTCATTGAACAAGTTTCAACAACAAAACAAACAACAAAAAAACTTATACCTTCCATAATCTACCATAATTTTGGAGTGTCCAGCATACAATCCTTAGAACTCTTTTCTATTCTCAGTCCGTCCAGTCCATGAAAATGCGCCCCACCCACCCCCACTTTTGGGTCGCCAGCTATGATGGTTAATGTTGTCAACTTGACAGGATCGAGAATCATCTAAGAGTAGGCTGGAGAGATGGCTCAGCGGTTAAAGCACTGACTGCTTTTCCACAGGACCAGGGTTCAGTTCCCAGCATTCACATGGCAGCTCACAACTGTCTATAATTCTAGTTCCAGGGTACTCGACACCCTCACACAGAATATATACAGGGAATACACCAGTGCACATTAAATAAATAAACACATAAATAAATCTTAAAAACAAATCCTTTAGGAGATACGGCCCTGGTCCAGCCTGCGAGGGATTACCTAGATCAGGTTAACTACAGTAAAACACCTGCTTTATAAGTGCACAACACCAACCCATGGGCTAAGGTCCTGACTGCACTGAAGGCAGGGTGAGCACAAATATCCATCTTTTTTGCTTCCTGGTGATGGATGCCCTGTGACCATCTGCCTTAAGCTACTGCCATCAGGCCTTCCTGGCCATAATGGACCGCAGTCTCAAACTGTGAGCCCAAATGAACCCTCCCTACCTTAAGTAGCATTTGTCAGGGATTCTGTTTCAGCAACAAGAAAAGTCTAGACCTCCACACATATGTCCACCATTTACTTCATACCTGCACCTGGATGCCTGACATCACAAACTTTAGATGTGAAATATATTTCTAGAAGTATAACATGAACTCCACTTTAATAAAATTTATTTCACGTGAGAAAGGGAATCATATGCCTCCTGCCCCCTGGTGAGAATTGAAAATAACATTGTATATGTTATAGGGTTATAGTCATTGGTCGAGGTGCCTGTAGAGGCCAGAAGAGGGCATGAGGGCATCAGATTTGTTCAAACTGGGGTTACAGGCTGTTGCCGTACTAGGAGATGAACCCAGGTCCTCTGCAAGAGCAGCAAGGGCTTTAACTGCTGAGCTATCTCTTCAGAACTAGAAATTACTCTTGGTTGGCTTTAAAGAAACAGTGTTCTGCTGACTTGGTTGTCCTCCAATGTTTTTGTTGATCAACTTTGCAGTTCCTGGCTAATGATCAAGAGACATCATCAGCCAAATCCTCCTATTTATTGTTAGGGCTGTGGGAAGCAAAAGTGGGCCATAGCACCTGTCTGGGGAAATCACTAAGTCTGTCTTCCTTTATCTTTTGTTGTGTGTGAACATGTACACACACATGTGGAAGCTAAAGACACTGCGGGAGCCAGTCCTCTCTATCTACCATGTAGTCCTAGGACACTGCAGAGCCAGTCCTCTCTCTCTCTCTCTACCATGTAGATCCTAAGGACCAAACTCGAGTTGTTCCTTCACCTGCTGAACCACCTTACAGTGCTATATTTGTGTTTTAATAAATAAAGCTTGCCAAAGCAGCCATACTAGTCAGCCATACAGTCCAGGCCGTGGTGGCACACACCTCTAACCCCAGCAGCCCCAGCAGCCACACTAGTTAGCCACAGAGACTGGGTGGTGGTAATGCACGCCTTTAATCCCAATACTAGAGAGGAATATAAAGTGGGAGACAGGTCTCAGTCTCAGTCTGAGAATTCGTAGAGGCTGGATCGCTCCTCTGTTTCTCTGAACCTTGGTAGAGGTAAGATCTCTTTCGCAGTTTGGCTGCTTTGCTTTTCGGATCTTCGGCTTGAACCCCGGTATCTGGCCCTGTGTGTTTATTATTCATGCTGCACCATCTCGCCGGTTACTGCTGACTCTCCTAACTACATGTCATTGAGCGCTGAGTTTGTGTGGCACAGTCAGTACATGTGCAGTGGGAAACACGGCAGAGCTCTTGTCTCCCAGGGGCTCAAGGCTTAATAGAGAGAGACAATGTGTAAACAAGTGAGTGAAGCGAAGTACTATGTGAGTGGTAAAATGGGACTCTGTCTCGATTTTGGCAGAGGCTCCAAGTAAGTAAAATGCCAACTATTCCACCATAAAATGGAAAACCACCAAAAGTAGAAATCCTCAGTAAGAGACGGGGAGGGGCTGCCTTTTGCAACCCTTGACTATCTATTCACTCCTAAGTTAGGGGGAAGTTTTTGGATTTAGAAGATTTTTAGAGCAATTTTTGGTGCATCGTGAGTAACAGCTTTCTCCTCAGCTGTTCCCAGGGAAAGCAACTTCAAGGATTTAGTGCAGTTTTGCTAATAGAACCGTAGAGTCAGAGGCCACCGTGGACCAGTGCCTGGCTCACACTGAGGGGTTTATTCAGTCGGTGCTCACATAACTTTATCATGCACTGTCACTGTCCTAGCATGTTTTAAATAAATCAGGGAACAGAATGAACAAAACCTCTCTGCTTTCATGGAGCCAACGAGCTAGTGGGAATTTTGCTGATGCACTGAAAAACGAGTTTGGGGTTTGGTCAAAGTCCACAGTTACTGAGGTCTGAGGCAAAGTACTCCTCTGTGAGTATTTCTTTGGATCATACTAGGCTACTGAAAAGGATCACATCGGAGGATAAAAACAAATCCACACAAAGAAGCTAACCACGTACCTGAAGATGCTAGCGATTAACAATGAGCTGACACTGTGCAGTGGTGGTGCACGCCTTGAATCACAAAACTCTGGAGGTAGAGGCACTGCAGATCTCTGAGTTCAAGGCCAGCCTGGTCTACAGAGTGAGTTCCAGGACAGCCAGGGCTACATGGAGAAACCCTGTCTCAAAAAAACCAAAACCAAAACAAACAAGCAAACAAAAGCCAGTGAGCTGACAGCCAGACAGTACATTTAGCCAAGTGTGAAAGATTACCAGTATGTTCTCCCTGGAGCAAAAGGGGTTTCCACAGGACTCAGGAAGTGACCAGGTTAACTGTAACCATCTACCAGCTCTCAGTCACAGAAATGAAGTAGCTGACTTAAGACTTTCTCCTCCCTTCCTGTTTCACCTTAGAAGACAGCCTAGTTGGCAAGGACAGAGTGTGAAGGGGAAATGTAGGCAGCGCACAGTCACCATTTCTCCATTTGCCACTGCAGACTCGAGCCAGGACAAACAAGAAACTTCTTCCTTAATATCTGTCTGATCATACTGAATGTGTTACACTGATTTCAGGTAACTGACTAGTTGACTTTAGCTGAGTTGTTGGCTTTTTTAAAAACCTGATGGACCAAAAATGTCGTGAGATTTATAACATATTTTATTTGAAAGCACAGAAGAGTCAAGTCCACACTGAGTTTGTTTTCCCAGAGGGTACAAACTCACTTGTATGTAGCACCAGCTCTGTCTCAGTTCTCCAGCATAGAGTTACAACTACTAACATATGATTATGGAAATTTGCAAGTCCGCAGGGAAGAAAATTCAACTTTGCTCTTATTTAAAAGTTACTCTTGTTGGACAATAGTGGTGCTTGCCTTTAATCCTAGCACTCAGCAGGTAGAGGCCGGTCTGTGAAGTCGAAGCCAGTCATGTCTACAGAGCGAGTTCCAGGACAGCCAGGGCTACAAATAAAATAAAATAAAAATAAATAAGTCCCTATCTTTGAATGGTTATATGGTTTTCTGATATACATTTACAACAAACACACACACCAGCTTTTATGTGAGCTAGTGTCAGAAGATTTGTGTCTGGAAAGATCTTTCTTTAGTAGGAACACAATGACATTACCATGACTACAAGCTAATGAGAAAACAATGCAAACAAAATGAGGGGCAAATCATTAAAGAAAGACACATATGAAAAGATTTTCACTAGCAAATAAAAGACAAGCTCATATTAGCGGTATAGTGATATTTTGTTTGTGATCTAACAAACAAAGCTTACCTGAAGATCAGAGTGCAGAGCTAAATCGCTAGCTAGCCAAAAAAGTCAGGCAGTGGTGGCACACACCTTTAATCCCAGCACCCTGGAGTAGAGGCGGATAGATCTCTGTGAGTTCGAGGCCACCCTGGGCTACACTAGATTAATCTAGTCTCAAAGAGAAACAGTCAGGGGAAAGTGACTCACACCTTTAATCCAAGCACCTGGGATCCCCCCCCCCCCGCATTTAATCCCAGCACAAGGAAGGCAGAGACAGGAGTGATAATGGCTGCATGAGGAGAGGAATAGAAGGCAGGAGGAGACAGGAGCTGGGGCAGTCTGGAGATGCAGTCTGAGGCCAGGATCGATCACCCCTACAGTCTGAGGATCCAGTAGAGGCAAAATGTCTCTTTAGTGGCTGGCCACTCTGTTTCTCTGATCTCTTAGCTTTCACCCAATATCTGATCCTGGGTTTTTATTAAGAACAATTAGAATTAACATAGAGGCTGTTAGCTTTGTCTGCTCAGCAACTTGACAACATAAAAGGAATAAACAATATCCAGTGCTGGGAAGGTATATACAAAGTGGCCTGTCAGGCATCATAGAGCAGAAATTGATGTCAAACCTTACAATTAACATATTTATTATAGATGTAAATGTGTCTTCTTCCCTTGGGCCTCACGAGCTTCATAAACTCAAGTACACAACAGATATTCATGTATAAGAACAGTCACTGTACTACTTTCATAACAGCAAAACATGAAAATAACCCGTAGAGCACCAAAAATAAGTTATTACATTTTCATATACTAGACCTCCATTCAACTACTAAGACTAATACAGGTCATTACTTACAGGCATAAGTTGACTAAAACTTTTTAAGGGTATTAGTATGAGCCAGTTTAATATGATCTTATTTATTTAAAAATTGTTTATTTGTGTGAGGCACACAATTATAGACAAGCATTGTGAAGATTTTTTAAATATTTTTTAAAATCTCCCTTAAGGGTAGATGAGCTAATCTGGATACTTTTTTAAAAAGTTATTCTCATGTGTATGAGTGTTCTACCTGCATATATGTAAGAACACCATATGTGTGCAAGTGTCATAGAAGCCAGAAGAGAAAGTCAGATTTCCTGAAACTAGAGTTATAGATGATTGTAAGCTGAATCAAGTGGGTGCTGGGAACTGAATCTAAGCCCTCTACAAGGTAAATGTTGAGCCATCTCTCCAGTTCCACAATTATTTTTAAATGAGTATTTAACTTGCCCATTTATTCAAAATCCATTATTCATTCAGCAATACAAATTAAGCACTTAGTATGTGCTAGCCACTGTGCTACTTCGAGGCAAATAAAACAACTTTTTCTATCAATTTAAAGTTAGAAGTTCTTCTTAAAAATAACAAGAGTTAGGCTGGAGAGATGGCTCAGCTGCTCTTCCAGAGGTCTTGAGTTCAATTCCCAGCAACCACATGGTGGCTCACAACCATTGATAATGAGATCTGGTGCATTCTTCTGGTGTGTACATGTTTAACAGAACATTGTATGCATAATAAATAAATAAATAAATCTTAAAAAAAAATAACAAGAGCCTGGGCTGGAGAGACAGCTCAGTGGTTAAGAGCACTGGCTGCTCTTCCTGAGGACCTGGGTTCAATTCCCAGCACCACATGGCAGCTCAGTTATCTGTAACAGTTGCAGGGGATCTAACACCCTCACACAGACATACATACAGGCAATGCACATAAAATAAATAATTACAAAAGTAACAAGAGCCAGTGTTGATCAATTTAGAGAACAAACCAATCTCATAAACTGTTGAGAGCATGGGGGCGGGTGTAAAGACTGAGAAAGAAAGACAAGAAAAGAAAAAAAACAACAAAAAACAGGAAACAGGAACCAGCACAATGGTTCAGGGCACTTGCTGCCAAGTTGTTCAGCTCCCCAGAATCCACTTGGTGCAAGGAGAGAACCAACTCTTTCAAGTAATCTTTCACATAAATGCACACAGGGACATAAACACACATATAAAATAAATAGATAAATATAAAAGCAAATATATATATTATATACATATGAAAATATTTAGAATGTGATACTAATTGCTCTGAACGTGAACATTTAAGTGATGTCTGGCTCTGCCTTCGAAGTTCATATTCTAAAGGCCCTCAACCGAATCTGGGTACTTATTTTTCTTCAACAGAATTAGCAGTCTGTAGATGTCAGGTAGGCAGCGAGCACAGAGCTGTCTCCATTTCATTTGAGGACAAACCAAAAGACGCTCTTTAAAAATTCCTAAGAAAACTCGCACCTTCCCCCTAGTGGCCAATCTACCAGGCATGGCAAGTAGTTGAGGACAGCGAATTATCAAAGAGTAAAACAGAACCCTGATGACGTTCAAAGTCCGATACTAGCGAGTAATGATCATAAAATGAGCGATACGACCATGGAACTATGAAGGATGGAGCGGCTCGCCATCGAGGCCAGAAATATGAACACAAACATACACCGCACACACACACACACACACACACACACACACACACAGGTTCGGCAGCCTCTTTCGAGGCCAGAAATATGAACACAAACACAACAGCGCACACACACACACACACACACACACACACACACACACACACACACTACGGTTCTGCAGCCTCTTTCAGTCAGGCGACTCCCCAGATGATAAGCAGCACTGTCGCACCATCCCGAGCTGGGTTGCGGTGAACAGCCTGGCAGTCGGAGAGTTGGCGGGAATCAGCAATCCACCAGGAAAAGGGCAAGGAAAGTCAGGGCTTGCCGTGTGGCCACGCCCCGGTTCTCTCCGCGCACAAGCAGTCCCGCCCCAGGGTTTCCCGCCAATCCCAGTTCCTCCGCCTTCCCAGACCCCGCCCACCCAGAGCTAGAGGGCGGGGAAGCGTTAAACGCTGATCCGTGGCTCTGGGATAGACTCTACTCCCTGCGCCGCTGCCGTCAAAACTTCGCAGGCGTCTCTGACGATTACCGAACCGGAGTTGGGTCCGTGCTCCTGGGTCGGCTGCTGGGTGTGATTGTCGCTGCGCCGGAGCTATGGTGTGTTGAACCCCGGGTCCTCGGAGGGTTTGGGGCTGAGGTCCGCTCACGCGGTCGGGGATCGGCCTCTGTTACTTGCGGCGCGGGGCGGTGGGAGAGGGAGCTTGGCTCACGGACGGGCTCCGGCAGTGATTCAGCATCTGCGGCCTGGCCGGCGAGGAAAGCTCGGTAGCCGGGGCGACCTTTCGCGTGGCTTCTCCACTTCACACGGGGTCCAGGCGCTTCTTCCTCGGCCAGCTAGACACCCTCGCCCCTCAGTTTACTTCAGTGGCTGATTCCTGTGGTCCCTCGTAGCTGCATTGGAGCGAGAGGATAGGGGGTGCCCTTAGCCTCTAGGCACCACTAGCGCGGATCTGAATCAGGTCCTTAGAACATGCCCATCTTCCTCGTGGGTCCATTTGGCTTTATCCGACTCTTTTGAGTGCTATGGGAAACGACTCGATTCAGACAGTTTGGTCACCTAGTTATAGATGAGAGGGGAAGTGATGGAATTAAGGCTCACAACGTAAAGGCCCTGAACTGCTCCAGTCGAGTCTGCCATAAGACCTCTTTTCTTTCTCACCCTTACCAGTATTCCCCAAGTGCCCAGACACTGGCTTTAGTAATGACATTATAACTGTCGTGGTTCTGCCACTGTAGCTATTTGTGCCCACCTCTTTACTGAGGTTTTGTGTATATCTTAATTCATTCGGTGACAAGGTGCTAGGAGAGAGCACAAAGTTAAACCAGACATAACTTTAATCATACTGTAAAGATAAAAGAGATGTATAGAAAGCCCGGTGTGTTGGCGCACGCATTTAATCTCAGCACTCAGGAGGCAGACGCAGGCAGATATCTGTGAGTTTGAGGCTGGCCTCTAGCCTGGGTAATGAGTTCTAGGACAGCCAGAGTGTAGAGACCCTGTCAAAGAAAAAAAAGTACAGAGTTGGGCACGATAGCACACACCTGTAGTCTCAGGGCTTGCTAGGTTAAGGGAAGGCCCCAAGGTCATCCTCCCAGGTACACGGCAAATGAAAGCCAAACTGGGGTGCATGAGAGCTTGTCTCAAAGAAAAACAGGTAGATATACTGAGAGTTTGAAGTAAAAAAAAAAAAATGAAACCTAGATGTTTGAGTCAATTTAAACGTCTTTGGCAAATTATTAGAGCCCAGTATAAGAGAATGGTTTAAGCAAAGAGAGAGAAAAGTGTGTACATACTTTAGCACTTGACTGCCCAGGGGCAGTGCTGTGGTCAGTAACAGAATAGAAAGTTAGGAAGACCCCAGTTCTCTCATCCTAGCTTCTCATGGTTAAGCTAGAATTGACCTACAAACTGAGTGCTGGAATCGTGTCTCAGGAAAGTTGCCCTAGCAAAAAGGCTTTAACAGTTGAACAGAAACAAATGCAAGGACACTTCTGAATGTTAAAATTTGAGGGTTATAATGTTCTCATAGTAATTGGTCTTTCTTCCACTTTCAGTTTCGCAACCAGTATGACAATGATGTCACTGTTTGGAGCCCTCAGGTAAAATGCTTTGTGCCATATCTATGAAGTGGCTTTTCGTGGCTGGAATAGGTTCAGAAACTTGTGAGACTGTAAACTGGGCTTGGTGGTGCTTATCTTAATCCTTATGGTCAGGATGCTGAAGATCATGGAGATGAAGGCCAGTTTGAGCACTTAGTAGAACCTTGCCTTTGAAAGACAGAGAAACAAAACTTGTGAAATTATAGGCTGTGAACTTAAAGTTAGAATTAAAATTAGTTAGCCGGGTGATGGGGGCACACACCTTTAATCATATCACTCTGGAGACAGGCAGATCTGAGCTCAAGGCCTGCCTGGTCTATAGAGGACGTTCCAGGACAACCAGGGGTATTACACAGAGAAACCCTGTCTCAAAAACGAAAAGAAAAGAAAGAAAGAAAAGAAAAATAATTTATTGGTTTTAAAAATGAAATTTAATTATGCTCATCTGAGATCTGGAAACTTTAACTTTGAATTTGTAAAGGGATCTTCTAGATGACATTAAGATGTGCTTTTCTTTTTGTCTTTAGGGCAGGATTCATCAGATTGAATATGCAATGGAAGCTGTTAAACAGGGTTCTGCCACAGTTGGTCTAAAGTCAAAAACACATGCAGTATTGGTTGCATTGAAGGTGAGTGAAATGATAATTCCATCTTTCTTCTTCAGGAGACAGAACTGTTAATGTAAACTTTATTGGTAAATAATGAAGCTGTAAACTAAAATATCTGTCGTACCGTGTCTCTATTTAGAGGGCACAGTCAGAACTTGCAGCTCACCAGAAGAAAATTCTCCATGTTGATAACCATATTGGTATCTCGATTGCGGGTCTGACTGCTGATGCTAGACTGTTATGGTATGTATGACCGTGAAAAATTAAGTGTCTCTTTTGATTCATAATGGTTCATTTTTCTAGAAAATACCCTAATAAGATAGTTTAGGAAGTTGTTTCCCAAAATATTATAATTTTAATTGCTTATTTTATCTTTATGGTTCCTTTGTATGTATGTATGTTTGTGTCCTGGTGTGTGCCCAGTTCCCTCAGAAGTCAGAAGAGGACATTAGATTTTCCTGGTATTAGAGTTACAGAAGGTTGTGAACTGCCATGTAGATACTGGAATTGAATCTGGGTCCTCTGAAAGAGAAACAAAGCTATCTCTCCAGCCCTAATGTATTATAATTTATAGTATTTGAGTGTGTTACTAAGTATTCCCGTTTCCTTATTCTTATAGCATTCTTAAACATCCTAATGCTTTTGAAAAGTCCCTGAATGAGATCGTTATTGGCATGTGTATTGGTTCAGGCCCTGTATGCCTAAGAGCTGGGCACTCCTCTGTTCAAGGATGACCTGAGCCATTCTAGTTTTCTTCGCTATGTCAGTATTGTTATACATTTGTTTTCACAAAGCTCAGTAGTCTATAATATGGGTATAGAAAGGTGACTCAATTATAGATCTTGTCTTCAGTGAGCATAAACCTATTTTATTTATAACACAAGGTGCAAAATAGAGAATAATAGGCAAATTTCTTTGGCAAACCCGAGGAGATGGATATTTCTTGTTTAGAAATAGCACATAAATGAAGTGGTAGGACTTTGAGATCATACTAATTGAATTCTCACTTCATAACTTACTATCTGACATTGGGCTAGTTACTTAAATAATCTTTCCCAGGGAGTATCCTGACCTGTAAAACCCTTAACACAGCGGCTTCCAGAAAGTGGGAGGGGACTGGAAATGGAAAGTGACCAAAGCAATCTCTTTAGTTTGTCCTGGTTTGGTTAAGAGAGAATGTAAGAGGAAGGACCATATTGCCATGGGTTAATTTTCAGCCAGTCTTTAGGTCAGAAGTAGAGTGGTGCTGCTGTGTTTCTGCTCTCAGAATACGACGTCTGGCATGTGCTCAGAGTGCTGCTACCTCAGGTCTGAAGTACTACCAGGTCATCATTCAGTTAGTATGAGAGCCTTAGTGCTAAGATGTTGTGAGTGGGTTAGTGTTGTCTTTTGTTTGAAATACATTTTAGTTAGCTGCTTTCCAAGTCCTTAGGCCTACATGTAATTAGTCCTTGCCATGTTAAATAGTTTAATTTTAGCAAGCCTTAGGAAATTGACCTTAAAATACTAAACAGCTTAATATTTACATTCGGTCAGCGTTTGATGAGGGCCAGGTGTTGTAATTTTTTAAAAAGCAGAATGAGAAAGACCCCATGCGAGAGAGCTCACGTGAAGGGGTTTTTTATTGGGGGTAGGAGAATGGGAAAGTGGGGGAGGCCAGTCCCTGGGGACAGAGGCAGCAGTGGAGAAGAGAGAGAAAGAAAGATGAAAGGTGGGCAGGACCCTTTTAAAAGGAAAGGTAGTGAATGTGCAGAGGAGGTGCTATTGGTGGCTGCAGCTGAGGATGTGTCCTGTGAGGACCCCAAGGGCAGGCCTGTACAGACGCCTGAATACTAACAATAGGAGATCAGGAGACTTGCCTATCTCTTTTGAGGCCTGGGGTTTGACTTCCACACTACAAAAAACACCCCAAAGAAAATTTGGCCATCAGCTGTGATGTGCATATACTAGAAAACCAGTGTGGAGAGAAAGGAGCACAGCTCCCCTTTATAGTCACAAGCTCTCTTCTTGATATTTACCTAGCTTGGATCTTGTCAGAATTACCAGTGAGATTCAGCCGTGGAATGGCTTGTATCTTTTCTAGAGTGGCACTTACTGTCTACTTTGAAGAAAAAAGCAAAGTTCTTTCTCTTTTTTCTAGTTTGAAACCTAAAATTGAGGCATATGGTGGTTGACAGTGGGAAGGACAAGGAGAAAGAGGGTGCTTTCTTAGCTCAGACTTCTGTAGTCTGTAGGTACTCTGGAGTCCAAGATTTTGTACGGAGGAACAATTTAGTCGTTTATGTAGTTCTTAATGTATTAAGCATTTATATTATGAAACTAGTTTCAGATACTTGCCTTCATTTTCTAAATTCTTGATTCCAGATGCCTTGCCTAACTTGGTCATTTATTTTTAAATCTTCATTTGGCTCCAGAGTTGAGGTGTGCGCACGCACACACACAAACACAAAGAGAGAGGGAGAGGAACCATTTTGACCATATCTTATCTTTCTGATTTTTATGGATGTACCCCATGAAAATGTTTGCAGTCAAACAAAATGGAATCAAACTGCTTTGAATGTTAAGATTGTATTTATTCTTTGTAATATGAACTGATTAATTTTTGTTTTCCTTTTTAGTAATTTTATGCGCCAGGAGTGTTTGGATTCCAGATTTGTATTTGACAGACCACTTCCTGTGTCTCGCCTTGTGTCTCTAATTGGAAGCAGTATCCTTTATGTT